TATTATTATTATTCTCTGATGCTAAGGAGTTCTACTCCCCCTCCCCACCTGGAAAGAAATCTCTTCCAAAGGCAAAACACAAGCAGAGGAGTTTCACTTTCACAGCAGCAAGCAGCTTGAGTCCAGAACACTTGAGCTAAGCCACGCCAGGGCTCCTTGCTGTCTCCTTCTTGCTCACACAGCAAATACTGTTTTGCTTTCCAAACAGCCCTCAACTCTTTCACACACTGACAGGACGCTAGCCAGATGAATACTGATGGATGCTAGTAGGCAGAGGCACAATTTTCTCCCCCTTATTTTCCTCCCAAAAAAACTAAGCCCAACCACATAGTTTCGTAGCGAAGCGCGGGTATCGAGCTAGTGTATACATATCCACGGCAGTTTAAAAAAAGGAGAATCCCGCGAGCTTACCGTATGGCTGGCCTAAGGAATGAAAGCGGTTAGAGAATCTGGAAGTCCTGCCATAGATACTTCAAAGCCTCCTCCCCGAGGGGAGCCAGAGAAACAGACCATGAAGGTGGGGGGGAGGTCTCTAACGATGCTTCGAGCTCTGAGCGCATAGTCACTTAAGTCGGTGACTTGTCCTCTGGGTGAATATGATGACCCAGGGGCGTAACAGTAAAGTAACAAAGTCACAAAAGTAGAATAAATTCGCTTTAATGTCTCCAGCTTGGCCCCCAATGTCCAATTATCCTCGGCTGGAGTTCAGAGTCTTCCAAAAACAGTCTACGAAGGGCAGAAACGCAGTCCGAACCCAAAGTAAAGATAATTACTAATTTAAAAAAAAACAACTACACAAACCGCTCTGAAGTCATTAACACGGCAGGCCAGGATGATAAATTGCAGATTTCCACCAGATAACGCAGCAACCGCAGTTGGGAGGACGCCAGAAACCCAGATAAGCCTCGACCGAGATAATGCATACTTTGCTTCCAGCAAGGAGCTGTGTGTAAACGCCCCACTTACATCCTGTTCTCCCAGCTGCAACTCATGAAAGGGATCAGGGCCCTTTTCTCTCCCGTAAGCCAGTTTGCTCCCTTCTCTGTTCCTCCCTGCGTGCCCTAGGATGAAAAGGGGACGGCCTGTGCCCTTCCCCAGTTTCTTCCACAGCCACTAGAGCCACACTCCCGCTCCCCAGTCAGCTGCTCAGCCTCCCCCTCAGAATCAGATTCCCACAGGGGCCTGACAGTGAATTTCCCCCCAAATTCTTGGATTCTGGGAAGCTCCCAGGTTCGTCCGAAGATCTTTTGGGGGAATCCCTGGTTTGTTCCGTCGCTCATCACCGCTTTCTCTTCTGTCTAATCCCCAGGAACAGTACGAATTCTGCTACAAGGTAGTCCAGGAATATATAGATGCCTTTTCAGATTATGCCAACTTCAAGTGAAGCCGAAAACTCGCCGGAAAAGAAAGAACAAGAGTTGCCTTCTTTAATACTTTGTAATATTCTGTTTGTTAATATCCCTATCCCCCCCCCCCACACACCACACCCCCCACGCCTCAAATGTGTATATAATCTTAACTGTTCTAGAAGGGTTGGTACCATTAAGATTGCTATTAATGAGCTTTGAAATTTTATATGTAGCAAAAAGTGTTAGATAAAAGAAGGCTGTAGGCACTTTTTCCCCCCCTACCCCCAAAGTTGCATTGGGGAATTAAATAGTGTGATATTTGGATTAATATTGTCAGAAAAGAAAAGAAAAAAACACACCCTTCTCTCTCTGGAGAGTTTATGCAGGCTGGTTTTGTTTTGTTTTATTTTGTAAATCTCTTTTTTTTTCCCCTTTGAGGGAGTAAAGCTTTTTAAACACCAAATGAGATTTCTTCCTATCAGCGGTTTCTTTGAAAAGAAAAGAGTGGCACACCAATAACATTTTTTTTTTAAAAAAACAAACTTTTCCTTTCTCCTCCGTTCCCTGGGAAACCCCTTGAAAGTTTCGTTCTTTTACAAGTTTTTTTTTTTTTTTTTAAAAAAGAGTATTTAGTAGAGATTTTGGTGGGCGAAAAAGAATATTTTCCCGTTTGCATATCCCTTCCCATAAGTAGTTAAAAGTGTGGAACCTCTAATGCTCTTTGGAATTCAGGCTGGATGTTCTCAAACTGATGTTACAAAACCTAGAATAATAGGGAATTCTGGCAGTTAAAAAGTCCCCCCTACCTGGGAAATTGCCATACAAAATGAATTTATAATAAGCAGGGTGGAAGATAATACATAGAGTTTGTAATAGGCCAGCATCACCCTTTAGGAGGGATCAGTGGCATAAGAATGTAAGAAATAAAATAGAAGAAGAGAAGAAGAGAGTTGGAAGGGACCTTGGAGGTCTTCTAGTCCAACCCCCTGCCTAGGCAGGAAACCCTACACCACTTCAGACAAAGGGTTATCCAGTCTCTTAAAAACTTCCAGTGTTGGAGCAGCCACAGTTTCTGGAGGCAGATTGTTCCACTGCTTCATTGTTCTAATTGTCAGGTAATTTCTCCTTAGTTGCTTCTCCCCTTGATGAGTTTCCGTCCGTTGCTTCTTGTCCTGCCTTCTTCGGGGGCTTTGGAGAATATAAATTTATAATAAGCAGAGGGGGGAGGGGGGAATGATATACATAGAGTTTGTAATCCACCCAGTCACTTTGTAGGAGCAGCATAGGAATGTAATAAATGAAATATAATAACGGAAGATGAGAGCTGGAAGGGATCTCGGAGGTCTTCTAGTCCAACCCCCAGTTCAAGCAGGCGACCATTCAATACCATTCTGGACACACATGGTTGTCCAGTCTTTAAAAACTTCCAGGGTTGAAGCGCCCACAACTTCTGGAGACAAGTCAAGAATCCACTGGTTGATTTTCCTTTCCCTGTCAGGAAATTGCTCCTTAGTTCTGAGTTCGAAATGTGGAGAGCTGAGGATCCCAGCTATGATGGAGAAGATGCTCCATTTTTGGGGGGGAGGGACGACCATCTACAAAGGTCCCCTCTTAAGATCTGGCACATCTGGATGTCTCCTTGGTTTCTTTATTGACTGGCAGGTTTTCCAGCGTGATTCTCTGGATGCTGAAAATGCTTTCATCTAAACTCTTTTCCTTTCGAATTTTATCTGCTTCGTACAGTGGCCTGAGTGCCGTTTTGGTTTGTGTGTTGCTTGTTTCCCTTTGTTTTCGACACGTTCTGCCATTTTGGGCTGATGTACCCTGGTTGGCTTCCACCTCCTCATCCTTCCCTGCTTAGGCATCGCGAGCAGAAACACACACACACACGTGTCCCAAATTTCCAGCTCCCTAAACTTCGCCAAAAGAGTTTTGATTATTATTATTATTATTATTTCCCCTCTTATATTTGTCACTCCTCATTCCTCCTCTGTGTATTGAAAGATCCTGGTTTCCAGACGTTTTAGCTACAAGTCTTCTATAGCGTTTTCTCAGCGCGAACTCTTACACTTCCCACACCTTAACAGCCATGAGTTGTCCTTCTTAACATGGATTGTTCCAAATATCCTGGGATTTGCAGCTTCCCAAAATTTTCTGGACTCCGTTTGGGAAAAACCGTTTGAGGCCTCTTCAACTTCCTTCTCTTAGACGGCTGCAGTCAGCAGGCCTCACTCTGTCTACTTTGCACAAAGTGCAAAAGTGCTGTAAAAATTGGATTTATTTAATTTTTTTTTCACTCAAATTTTAAAAAGCCAGCAGGGTCTTGTTGGATTGGAAAAAAGGAAGAGGACGTGGAAGGAAAAGACAAAAGAACCTTTTCATGAAACAGATATATATATTTTTCTCCCAATCTGGATTATCTTCCTGCCTCTTCATTCTTCTACTTTGGAAGGGCAGCTTTCTGCATTTAGAAGGCTACGCTCCTTTTTTTTTTTTTTAAGTTCACTGAAAATAACACAGAAAGGGGGGAAAAAAGTCTTTAAAAATGGCATAATAGGAATACTATGTAAAATGGCTAGCCAAACACTGCAGCGTCGCACTGAAATCTGTCGAGAGGAAGTCCTCAAAATCTCACCAAAAATCTACCGTCACCTCCCTCCACAAAAAATGGGATCAGATGCTTTGAAACTGCTCCTCTGCCCACCCACCCCTTTGATCCGAAATAAATACCTTCATTTGAACATTGGCTGGGCCCTAAGGCTAACTATCACTTTTGAGGTCAACAGTGGTTAAAAGGCTGTTTCAAACTAATGGTCTGTGATAAGAAGGAGCCTGGCCAAGGTGGTGCAAGGCTGCCAAGAACACGAGATAAAGTTGCCAAGAAGAATTTCAAACACAAAAGAGTCTCCAAACACCAACCAAGAGAATCCGAACGTCCACAAGGCTTGAGTGCAAAAACGTCTTTGCTTCCTGCAAAGAACTCCGGTTTCTCAGCTGGCTTTTATCTCTTAAGGGAGGGGCCATCACCTTCCAGCCTTACTCCTGAGTTGCCCGTTCTGCTGCAGCTGCTCTTTACTTCAAGTAGCCCTGAGCGCATGCACACTGGGCACAGGCTCCTCGGGCGCCTCTTCCTCACTTCTGCCAGCCTCCACGATCTCCGAAGGCAGCACTCCACTCTCTGATGGTCCTGGCCCCATCCCTGCATCACACGCAGGCCCCTCATCCGAGTCCTCGCTCTCCGCGACCTCAGCCGTCCGTACCTGCTGCTGGTGAACCACAACGCTACCTTAGGATGACTTCTCCCATGGACCTTGGTGGCTGGCAAGGATCTTCTGGTGCTGAAGGAACGTGTAGCCCAACTTTGTGTCTTCTCATGATCCTGGATAGAGGGAATGAGGTCTTTCATCTACTGAGAGATGAAACCAGAGATAAAACATACCACAGCGATACTACTGCACGATAACAAAGTAGGAATCAACCGTATGTGAAGACAAAGGTATCTTCATTTGTGGACCTTAACCACTGGG